GTTGGCGTGACTCTGCCCGGGACTGAAGTACAAGCAGAGCTTGCCAGGAAACCTCTCCCGGAAAGTGTAGAGCCAGGACATGTCATCGGCGTTGTAGAAGATGAGGAGCCCTTTGTCGTAGTCCAGGAACACCCCAACCTTCTCCAGCTTGGTCTTGACGTTGAGGCGCGTCCAGGGCTGGGTGCAGGCGCTGTACTGGTTCCCGTCGTGCATGACGATGCAGTAGAAGCCCCGGCTGGGCTGGATTTGGATGCTGCCCTTGCGGGTAACGGCTTCGTGGGCCAAACCGATCATCCATTGGGTCTTCTCAGAGACCACCACCTCCCAGTAATGGACCCCGCCACCGAACGCCTCCGAACCCAAGACCGAGACCTCCACGTCGAAGCGTTTGGGGGAGTCCTGCAGAGGCTGGGGGTGCAGGTTGCCGTAAGCCACGATGGTGCAGTCGTCAGAGAGGATGAGGCGGTGGTGAGCCGTGCCGGGGTCCAGCGTCAGGGCTGCTGGCACTGCAGGGGACATGGGGACAAGGTGGGGGACATGGGGACAAGTGTCAATGCAGCCCCACCGGTTTGCAGACCACTGCGGTGTGGAGAAGGTCACCAGTGTGTCCCCATCCCTTCTGGGTGATGTCCCCATCCCCATCTCTCACCAGTGTGTCCCCATCCCTTGTTGGTGATGTCCCCATCCCTTGCCAGTCACATCCTAATCCCTCACCACTGATGTCCCCGTCCCCATCCCCTTCCCTCACCAGCACATCCCCATCCCTTGTTGGTGATGTCCTCATCCCCATCCCTCACCAGTGATGTCCCCATTCCTCACTGGTGACATCCCCATCCCTTTCCCCCACCAGTGATGTCCCCATCCCTCGTTGGTGATGTCCCCATCTCTCACCGGTGTGTCCCCATCCTTTGCTGGTGATGTCCCCATCCCCTTCCCTCGCCAGCACATCCCCATCCTTTGTCAGTGATGTCCCCACCCCTCACTGGCAATGTCCCCATCCCTCACCAGTGATGTCCCCATCCCTTGCCAGCACATCCCCATCCCTCACTGGTAACATCTCCATCCCTTGCTGATGACGTCCCTGTCCCCTTCCCTCACCAGTAAAGTCCCTGTTCCTCACTGGTGATGACGTCCCCATCCCTTGTCCCGTCCCCATCCCTCACTGGTGACATCCCCATCCCTCACTGGTGACATCCCCATCCCCATTCCTCACTGGTGACATCCCCATCCATTTCCCTCACCAGTAAAGCCCCCGTTCCTCACTGGTGATGATGTCCCCATCCCTTGTCCCGTCCCCATCCCTCACTGGTGACATCCCCATCCCTCACTGGTGACATCCCCATCCCCATTCCTCACTGGTGACATCCCCATCCATTTCCCTCACCAGTAAAGCCCCCGTTCCTCACTGGTGATGATGTCCCCATCCCTTGTCCCATACCTATCCCTCACCAGTGATGTCCCCATCCTTCTCCCCTAATGTCCTGTTCCCCCACCAGTGATGTCCCCATCCCTCACTGGTGATGATGTCCCCATCCCTTGTCCCATACCTATCCCTCACCAGTGATGTCCCCATCCTTCTCCCCTAATGTCCTGTTCCCCCACCAGTGATGTCCCCATCCCTCACTGGTGATGATGTCCCCATCCCTTGT